AGTAAATATATGAAAATAATATATGTGTACTGCGCTTTCATAAAATGTATGCAAGCGTTCCTCGCAGTAATAAACCCTATTATCAGTTAGTTCGCTACAGTACTTTGTAGCGACTAAGTACTGTAGACATGACTTATTGACTTGCCCTACTCTGCTAACATAAGAGCAAACATGATAGGCATGCAATATCTACTTTCATTGCTTATAACAAGTGTAAAAATATTAATTCGTAAGTGAAAAAAGCTGTTCCTTCAATTTACAACGGCAGTCACTTTGAGAATAAAGTAACCCTTTCGTTGCCTGTCATTATATTTGTAGTGAGGTCGCTGGCGCCAAAACGAACCGGCTTTCTCTATCATGGCCTTGCATCGAGCCGGTGAACTTTAAACAGAAGGGTGGGTACAACTGCGGAGTTCACATTTGTCTCTTAAGTAGCTTACTCGCAATGCACCCACACGCGACATCTAGTTTTAAGTTTAATACAGAAGTCACTACTCTCATTAAATCATGAGGTGTTAAGGTACGAAATATTTACCCTTACAAGGTAACTAGCATTACCGTTCGACAGGTTAGCCCCTGGAAGAAATGCATTCGATGAAATATACCTTAACAACCCATTATTTCTGCCTTAAAATGAATTTAACGGAATATTGCATATTCTTCACTCATTTTCCCAATGACTGATTGTTATTTTCGATCGTTTCTTTCAGTTTGCTAGATGTTTGTGCGAAGAACCTTCCGTAGATGCAGCTTTCGACATACCAACCGAACGTGCACTAATCAGTAACGTCTATGGTGTTTGGTTGTTGTTACGATGACATCCACGAGTAAATAACCTAAGTCACAGCTTGTTCCCAAACTGCATATCCTTTAATCATGCTAAGCATTGGGTCTCATTCTGATATAGAGTCGAGAGTCAAAGTATGAGACGTGACCTAATAAAAAAGAAGACATATTTAAGCGAATGATAATGAAAGACATGTTCCGTCCGCTGTAGGAGAAATGTCAACGTCTGCATCACGTTGTGCCATGACAACGATGGAGAAGATTGGCTTGGATGAGACAGTTGTGGCCAGTACTTCCACGCAAGTTGCATCAAAGTGGATTTCTCAGACTCTCTCTAGCTACTTTGTCTGCCCCTGTTAATTTCACAACATCGTTACGGATTAGTGACGTAAATTGACGTAAATTGATAGTCGAGAATATTCTTCCCAGTGTGGGACTGACTCAAGACTAAGCTAGGCTGTGTACCATTCCTGAAATTCCCGTTATTTCTCGAATTATTTGACGCTTAAGTGTTGACAAGTTTTTCGTATTAGGTAAGTGAAAAGTTGACTCAACACTGCAAGGAGAATCTCTCACAAAATTTACTCTTTAAGAGTCGAAGTTACCGTCCAAAATTCAAACGTTACTGTTCGGTTTATTGGCGCATTGACAACCTTGTAAATAGCTCAAACGTACTGAAAAAATTTTCATTAGTTTTTGTATATCTTTTATATCCTTTGTTCAGTACGATCTTACACATTTCGGGATTGAACTTTTCGTGGGGAACAAGTGCTATAGCTTACACGACGTATTTAAAATGTAACCGCTGTACTATAAACTTGTGTGTTCGACCCTCGATGAACGCCTTCAATGTAGTATCGTCCAACACGATCTCGTCCCCGAATGAAGGATTATCATAACTTCTCAAATGTGACAAAATGAAGTGTAATCATTCAACATCGAGATGACCGTGAGGCCAGTGAACCCTGGGTACCAGGTCTATTGAGAGATGATTTTCCCGGGTGATTTCGATTTCTTCGGTGCTGTCGTAGGTGCCCTATTCGGTCACTTGTGTTTCGCTTTCCTCGCTTTTTTCGGGCTATTATTTTGATTCATGGCGTCCGCTGTTGTGGAAGGTAAG